TGGATTCTCCTTCTCTGGAGATATTCAAGACCCGCCTGGACAAGGTCCTGTGCAGCCTGCTCTGGGTGACCCTGCTTGGGCAGGTGGTTGGACTAGATGATCCCCAGAGGTCCCTTCCAACCCCAAACATTCTGTGATTCTGTGATTCACAACTCTTTCAGTAAAGACATTTTTCCTGATATCCAACCTAAACCTCCCCTGATGCAACTTGAGGCCATATTTCCCTGCCAGCAGCCTCACGTCCTTTCACCCGCTGCGTCGGGTGTGTTTGCTCTGCGGCGAGCTCACCGAGGAGTGAGTAACTCACCAGCTGCCCAGGGAGGGGGGTCACAGGACATTGAGATAAACCTGTTAGATTTGATAATCCCTGCGACAGCAGCAGGGATTGCTAATCTCTGATCCTTTGGTGGCTCCTGTGCACGGCCCTGAGCTGTTTGCTCTTAATCCCCAAGAAATTAGGTGGCTGAACACGAGGACGAGGGAGGCGGGACCTGGAGGGACCACGGACTGGCTGTGCTGGATGAGGGCAGGTGTCCTCCATCCTCGTCTTCCCTCTAACCGTGCCACCGGGCAAATCTGGGAGGGAGAAAAGGGGCAGTAACAAACATACAAGGACATTAGGCCAGGAGAGCTCTCCTCCCACCAGCAGTCAGTGGCGTGGCAGCGTCCTGAGGCTCATTAAAGGAAATTAAAGGAATTTAATTGAAGTCTCACGGCTCGGAATACGCTGCTTGAAGTCAGGCGCACCGCACCAGCCCGTTTTGCCCCCCAAAGCCAGCTCTGCCAGAGCCCCCAGGTCCACAAGAGCAGCAACACGGAGGTGTCATGCACAGAGAAGAAATTCTCCCCTGTCCCCTCTAAAAAGCCACTGGATGCAACCAGGGTGTAAAGCAGGCTGGCGTAATCCCCCCATGCTGTAGCTACGCTGCAGTAGTGGAACAGCTCTAGATGATCTAGTTTATCACTCAGGTACCGCTCTGAAGAGTTCACACCCCTTCCAATCCACGAATTTCAGAAATACTTTCGAAAACCTGCACCCTCACCGTGCTGGGAGCCAGTTTCTGGTGACGGGGCTGGTTGGGATGAGGGGGTTGCCACGAGGACAGGGAGGTTTGCAGAAGCACAAAACGCTGCTGAGGGCCAGTGTTGCTTGGAGGAAACACATTTGGCCTTTACTAATGGAGATGGAGCTGCAGAGGGCACAAGGCAGGACAGTTTGTGGCCATCACGAGCTAGGGGACGAGCACCTCCTCCTTTCCCAGCACATCTTTCTGCTCTTAGATTTAATCTCCCCTCCACCTCCACGCTGACGCAATTCCCTCTGCTGACTTCTTTTTAGCTGGGTGGGAAAAGGCCTGCTCTCTTCCCCTCGCTGGAGGTCACGCGGACATCTCCACAGCCACACGAGTGCTCGCATGCTCCTCTTGTCACTGTTCCTACCGCGTCTCACTGAGGTGGACCACAAAAAAGTCTTCTAACGCACACAGAGAGACAGTGAACAAGAGAAGCATTAAATGCTCTTTATACGCAGACGCATATTGCTGTCGGAGGAATGCACGCGGGGGGTTTATTCAGCCAGGTGCCGTATCATTTCAGCTGTCTCAAGCACGCCATGCGAAGAGGATTTAGGCGCGTGCTGCTACAGACAGCTGATTCCCACCTTGGCTTTTACTATGAATTGTCTCGCACATACTCCATGATGTTTTTCAGACCCAGCCACGTCTCCTCAGCGGTTGGGATAATTTGGCTGGCTGGCAGGAGGAAGCCATAGCGACCCGTGTCTCGCAGCTCGAAGGCGAAAGAGTATTTGATGCCATAATCGTAGCTCCAGTCAATGCTGCCGCCGCTGGCTTGGTCTGAAGGAGAAGGGGAGAAGAGCCGGAGGGGTGAACAGAGGATTGATTCGAGTTCTGCTGTCCTACAGTTTGTATTTGTGAGGGACAAGTTTTTATGCGAACACTCAGTTCCGATGTTCGACCGGTGGCGTCAGCTCTACAGAAGCATCCCCGCTTCCAAGAGGGAGAAACCTCGTCGGGGGGACAGAGACTGTTGTCCTGTGACTGCCCATAAAAGCTTGGACTAGCAAAATACTCACAGATAGTAGTGCAAATGCTCCCCACGGTAAAGGTGGTGCCGTACAGGGACTGGATGGAGGTGGCGGCGGCTCTTCCCAAGGCATCCTGGAGAGGAGAAGATGAAGGACGAGTCAGAAAGTAGCCATGCTTAATGAGAATAAATGTTAGGATTTCACCAGCCTGAGCCATACTCGTGAAATTCATATCTCCACAATCTTTCACAAAATCTCCGATCTTTCACCCTCCCCCCAACAAACTAGTGCCAAGTCAATCCATCTCTTAATCACCCAAACTAGTGACAGTGCTCCCAGCTTCCACAGTGTCTTTGGGAGGTGACATTGCAGACGAATTAAATCACAGCAGGCTCTATATCTGATCATCCAGTGTTTTGTCTCACCACCCGTCTTGCCAAGAGAAGGTTCAAGAGATACCAGAAAATCCCAAGGCAGTCGGAGATGTTCCAGTACTCGGTGGTCAGCTTTGTGCTCACTTCAACGACGTAACGGGTGGTTGTGGAGAAAACAGAGCCACGCTCTTCTTGGAGGTGTAGGGGAAAAAGACGAGGGGTGACAAACAAATCACCAAACGGGGAATGGCATTTGGGTATTAGGGGAAAAGAAACTCCCCATGGCAGTGGGGAAACTTTGGGAAGGGCCCAAAGAAGCTGTGGAATTTGTCTTTAGAAATATCTAAACAAATCAAAACAATTAATCAAAACTCAGCTGGGCAAGGCCCTGAGCAGCTCAGTCCAACCTTGAAATTGGCCCTGACTCCAAAGCCTGCCCGCTTTCAGCAGAGGGTTTGACTAGAGACCTCCAGAGGTCTTTTCCATTTGAATTACGACTGAGATCCATATCGCCTCAAAGATATTATCACAGCTGTGATGCCGTTGTGAAAGCAGAAAGAAGGAAACACGGAGGAGCAGAGAGGGCTGAGAATGGGTGGGGATGGCACGTGTTTGCACACGACCAAGATTTCTCTTATAAAGGCATTGCATTGCACCGGGTTTTTGTTCACCCTCGCGGATGGTTACTGTTGTGGATGGCGGAGTTCAACCTCTTGTTTTTATCCTGATATCTCACTGTAGCATTTGAGTACAGAAAGCCAGCTGGACAGAACAGAGGAAGCCAAAGCCAAGTCGTTACGTCTCACCAGCTCAGCATGGTCTGCCGGCTCAGTGCATTTGTAGCCATAGGGATACAACAGGAGCTGAGAGTAACTGTGGAGGGTGAGGAAGGCCTGGATGTTCCCATGATTCTTAATAAAGTTGACAACAGATTCAACTTCCACCTCTGAGTTGGCACTGGGGCCATGGTAAGAGTCAGAGCAGGGATTACTACTGGCTCCAGAACCTGTTGGTGCAAAGGGGAGACAAAGGCAAACCTGTAAGTACCGGCATTCGTGAAAGGTCAAAGCAGACCAACACAAAGCTGGGCTTTCCTAAGAAGAGGTCTTCAGCCAAGGGCAAGGCCTTAAATGCTGATCAATGCTCAAACAGCAGCATCAGAGCGTGAACCTTGGGATATACTTCTAGATGATACAGATTACTGCCTTCATCTTGTGCTCACTGGCAATTAATCAATACGAAATTATCTTTACAAACGACAGCTACCATCCTATCTGACCATTTTTTTTCTGAATCCCTTATACTAAGGTGATTGCTGGTCCTGCGTAACAGGATCCGGGAACATGAACTTTCTTCTTAGGGACAGCCAGAATCCAGAAACTTTATTCCTACCTCCAAAACCTGCATCCCAGTTCCGGTTTGGATCCACTCCAACACACAGACTGCCTTCATTCTTGGAGCGGGTCTTCCGCCACAGGCGGTTCTAAAACAAAGAAACGCTACAGCTTCAAAAAGGAGCAAATCTCGGGCCTTGCAGTAAAACTGCGACCCAGAAATAGCTTCCATTGACCAGGAAGTGAGCCTAGGCATGAGCCTAGGATGATTTCTGATGGGCTGACTGCCAAGATGGGCCAATGGACAAAAATCAAAGGGCTGGTGAATTTACAGAGGGTTAAGGCGGGTTAGACAATTAATTAGTATCTTTGGCTGCGCAACCCTTTTGCGACTCCCTCTTATGGCATTAACAAATGGACTTTCAGAACCTACTTCCCTCACATTTATCGCTCGCTTGGAATCACAGAATCACAGAATCACAGAATAGTAGGGGTTGGAAGGGACCTCTGTGGATCATCTAGTCCAACCCTCCTGCCGAAGCAGGGTCACCCAGAGCAGGCTGCACAGGACCTTGTCCAGGCGGGTCTTGAATATCTCCAGAGAAGGAGACTCCACAACCTCCCTGGGCAGCCTGTTCCAGTGTTCCGTCACCCTCAGAGGGAAGAAGTTCTTCCTCATGTTCAGACAGAACTTCCTGTGCCTCAGTTTGTGCCCATTGCCCCTTGTCCTGTCACTGGGCACCACTGAAAAGAGCTTGGCCCCATCCTCCTGACACCCACCCTGCAGATATTTGTAAGCATTTATTAGGTCCCCTCGCAGCCTTCTCTTCTTCAGGCTGAACAAGCCCAGTTCCCTCAACCTCTCCTCGTAGGAGAGATG